TTACATGACTAATGTAAAAATAAAAAAAATTAATGACTTAAATAAAGGCATAGATTTTTATTGTTGTCATTGAGTCATTTCAGTCATATCCAGTTTCTTCATGACTCCATTTGGGGTTTTCTTGGCAAAGATACTGGAGTGGCTTGCTATTTCCTTCTGTTCCTGATTTTACGGATGAAGAACTGAGGCAAACAGGGTTAAGTGACTCGCCCAGGGTCACATAACTAGTAAGTGTCTGAAACCAGATTTGAACTCAGGAAGATGATTCCAAGACCAGTGCTCTATCCAGTAAGCCATCTAGTTGCCCCAAATGCATAGATTACATTTATCAAGTTTGTAGATAACACCAAGGAGAGATAACTGGCATGTTAGATGACAATCAGGATCCAAAATTAACTTATCAGGTTAGAATATTGAGCCTAATTTGAAAAGATGAAATTTAATAGAGATAAGTGTAAAGCCTCATAATTATGTTCTAAGAAATCAAGTTCATATGGGGAAGGAATAATAAAATAACACTGAGTCAGCAGCTATGACCGAACAGGAGCCTTGAGAGTGGGAGCTTCCCTCAGACTGTTCTGCTTCCTGACTAGCCCTCACAGCCATCACCTGAGGAAGGAACTCCTATTGAGAAGAAACCAGCCATTCCCACCAACCAATGGCCACTAATGGGGCAGGCAAACCAGCTTAGTTGAAGCACCACGGCACCCTAAGGAAGAGACGGGAGGCAGCATGTGCCAGGCAAGTAAAACCACTACAACTCCTTTAACTACCATCTCTCTTCAGACCCTGGTGGTGACAGCCCTGGACCTTGTACTCAAAACCCTTGAGAATAGATCATTGGACCTTTCCATTTGACTTGAAACTTTCCATGGATTCTAGCTGAGTGTCATCAGCCATCATCTTAGGAAGAAACCCCTTTGGCGATTAAGCCTGGCACCTGCTCCTGCAGCTGCTACAGCCGTAGCTACTGAATATTCAGAAAAGAATTTTCTTGCCCCCAAAGTCCTTGGCACTATCAAATGGTTCAACACTAGGGACTGAGCATTTCATCAGTGGAAATGACGTTAGAGAAGAGGCATTGCTATCTGCTTTGCTGCTGCATCCTAATGACCATCAGACCTTTTCATCTGACTTGAAAACTTCCACAGATCTTGCCTCCCCCTTTAGAATGTGAGCTCTTTGAGAGCAGGGACAGTCTTTTCTATTTGCATGCCCATTGCTTAGCAGAATGCTCTGCACATAGTAAGTGCTTAATAAATGTTTTATTTATTTATAAAAAAACTAGTTGCCTAACAGAATGCTTTGCACATAGTAAGTACTTAATAAATGTTTTATTTATTTATAAAAAAACTAGTTGCTTAGCAGAATGCTTTGCACATAGTAAGTGCTTAATAAATGTTTTACTTATTTATAAAAAAACTAGTTGCCTAACAGAATGCTTTGCACATAGTAAGTGCTTAATAAATGTTTTATTTATTTATAAAAAAACTAGTTGCTTAGCAGAATGCTTTGCACATAGTAAGTGCTTAATAAATGCTTTATTTATTCATCCCAAACAAAAAAAACCTAATCATTTCAGGCTACATTGAGAGAGGTATAGTAGCATTCAGAAGGTGACAGTCCCACTGCTTCTGCCCTGATTAGATCCATCTGGAGTATGGTGTTCAGTTCTCAGGGCTACATTTTAGGAAAGAGGTTGGAAAGCAAGAGAGTGTCCAGAGGAGGATGACTAGGATAGGGAAGAGACTTAAAATCAAGCCTTATGAAGACCAGCTGAGGGAACCAGAGATCTTTAGTCTTGAGATGTTTTAGTTTGGACTTGAGGAGGACATCACCTCTGTCTTCAAGTTGACAAGTTGTTGATTGGAAGAGTGAATAGATTTATTCTGCTTGGTCCCAGGGGACAATAAGATGGAGATTCAGACAGGATGTAAGGAAAAAGGAACTTCATAACAATTTTTGTTGTTGTTAAGTCACGTCCGACTCATCGTGTCCCCATTTGAGTTTTTCTTGGCCAAGATACTGGAGTGGTTTGCCATTTCCTTCTCTAGTTCATTTTACAAATGAGGAACTAAGGCAAGCAGACTTAGGTGACTTGCCCAAGATCACACAGCAAAGTAAGTGTCTGAGGCCATATTTGAACTCATGAAGATGAGTCTTCCTTATTCCAAGCCCAGTGCTTCACCAGCTTCACCAACACGTAACGAGGAGTGTTATTCAAAAGAGGAATGGGTTGTCTCAGGAAGTAATGGATTCCTTCTCACTAAAAATATCAAGTAAATGTCGGATCCCATGTGTTGGAGTGTTGTAGAGGGAATTTTTGTTCAGTTATGGATTGGATTAGATGCCCTATGAGGCCCCTTCCGACTCCAAGATTCCATGATCCTGTTTTGGAAATCACCTTGCCAGCCACTATTGACTGACCCCTACCATGATTCCTTACCTACTCCCTGCCCAGCACCCTAGTCCAGGGGTGGGGAACCTGTGGCTTCAGGGTCACATGTAGCCCTCTAGGTCCTCAAGTGTGGACCTTTGACTGAATAAGACCTAGAGGACTACATGTGACCTCCAGGCCGCAGGTTCTCCACCCCCTGCCCTAGTTCCATCCCCTTGATCATCTTTTTTTTAATCTTACAATGTGTTAGACTCTTTATCGAAGGGGACAGAACAGAAGCAGAGTGGTATCACAGTGAGCCAGTTTGCACTGAGGGTGTCTCCTCTGACGTGACTGCTAGCCCAGAGCTTGGATAGGCAAGGTGAAACCATGTAATGAAGGGTCTTAAAAGCCAGTCAGCATTTAGACTTGATGAAACCACCACAGATTCTTGAGGCAAAGTGCCATGGGGGAAATAAGACTTTAGGGAAGTTACTGCAACCATGTTACTGCAAGGAGGGGGAATTGGCACAGGGACAAACCGACGGAAGAAAGAGCATCCAATAATCCAGGCATACTGGGCTATAACAACAATAACCCACATTTGTAGAGCAGTTTAAGGTGTGCAGAGGAAGGAAAGAACAAGCATTTATTAAGTACCTACTATTCATCAGGCATTGTGCCAAATGTTTTACAAATATTATTTCATTTGATCCTCACAACAGTCCTGGGAGGTAGGTTCTATTGCTATCATCTCCATTTTACAGTTGAGGAAACTGAGGCAAACAGAAGCTGAGTGGTTAAGCGATTTATCTAAGGTCACACAGCTAATATGTATCTGAATCTAGATTTGAACTCAGGTCTTCGTGATTTCAGGGACAATCCTCTATCCAGCGGACATCCTAGATGCCTCAGGGGGAGGCGGGGGTATCCGTATATACCTATTTATTTAGAGTCTATGCTGCCTTCTCCACTATAATGTAAGTTCCTGTAGGGCTTTTTTTTTTTTTGCATCAAATATCTTGAATAAAAGAAGAGGAATGAGCATTTATATGGCTCCCACTGTGTGCCAGGCACTGGGCTAAGCACTTTACAAACATCTCATTTGATTCTCACAACTACCCTTTGAGGTAAGTAGTATTATTATCCACCTTACAATTGAAGAAAGTGAGAGTTAAGTGACTTGCCCCAGGTTACACTGCTAGTAAACAACTGAGGCTAGATTTGAACTCAGGTTCTCTCAACTCCAGACCCAGCGCTGTATCTACTGCACCACCTAGCTGCCCTTGGCAGCAAAATGCTTTTCTTACCACAATCTTTAGAGATAGGTAATGGTGTATTTTTCCTATTTTTGTTTGTTTGTTTAGGCAGTTGGGGTTAAGTGACTTGCCCAGGGTCACAGAGCTAGTAAATGTCAAGTATTTGGTCTGAGGTCGGATTTGAACTCAGGTCCTCCTGACTTCAGGGCTGGTGCTCTAACCCCTGCACCACCTAGCTGCCCCTATTTTTCCTTTTTTTACATATGAAGAAACTAAGACCCAGAAATCATAAAGCTAGTAAGTGTCACAGTTAAGATGAGGCAGAAGAAGACCTCAGCTAGCATAGGGGTTATAGAAGTAGAAAAAGGCAAAATCTGATAGACATTTTATCAGGAAAATATATATGCTGCCTGGTGACTGAATATGAAGGACAGACAGTACAAGGTAGAATACAGAACAAAGTGCTTGGAGTCAGGAAGATCTGGTTTTGAATCCTTCCTCAGACACTTATTGGCTGTGTGACCCTGGGCAAGTCACATCCTCTCTGGGCATCAGTTTCTCCACTTGTAAATGAGGGGAGGGTGGCCTCCACGGCCTCAAAGGACCCTTCCAGCTCTAAATCGATGATTCTTTGAGAAAGGGCCACAGAAGTGCCTAACAAAACTCTGGCGTTCTGGGTTCTCATGGGAAAATGGTGAGTTTGATTCTGGCCATGTTGAGTTTGAAATGATGGACCAACACCCAAGTAGACACAAATACCACTTGATGCCAATTTTGTCTTTGTCTTGGACTTCTTCCCTGTTCTCGCCTTTGTGAAATAATAGAGTTGACAAGACTGAGCTCCATGGTTCCTTCCAGGTGGAGTCTTCCCTCTAATTAGGTCTTCCTCAGGGCTCCAAACTTTGTTCCCAGTTCTAGGATGTCCCGGACCCACCGGGATTTCCTGACAGCCAAACACCTTCCCCGCCTTTCACCCTGCTAGCTGGCACCCTTTATGTGCTGTCTCCAGGACAGAAATAACCCTGACTTGTGACTCAGTCCCAGGTCTTGTGAACCAGTCATGTTCACACACCCCCACCCCCCCCACACACTCCCACACCCATCCCCTGACCACCGTGACTGGGGTATACATGAACTTCTAACCCCAGAACTTACTGCTTTCTGGGACTCCCATTTGGAAAATCAAGAGGTGGTCTGACCCTGGGTCTGAAAGACTGAGATGGGACAGGAGAAGGGGAAAGGAAAGGCCGCCCAGACCCCTTGCAAGTGAATGCTTATTGATGTGACAAGCAGTGCACACCGGTCCCGGCACTGCCTTGGATGAAATGCCTTTGAGCTTATGGAAATTAAACAGGAGACACAGGAAAAGGTGAGGAGTTTTATTGGAAGAAAGAGGTGAAGCCGAGCTTTACACCTGAGCCACGTGGATCGATGTTGTAGGCTCTGAGGGTCTCAGTGGAGGGCAGCCCCTGGCTCCTTCCACCACAGCCCACCCCTTGGTTCCTCATATACAAAGTGCCCAGAAGGTGGCAGCAGAAGCTTATCGCCTAGGTACCGTCACCTTCAGGCTAGTATCACAAGGCTGCTAGCTCACACCTGGCCCTCCCCAAAGGGCACTGGTGTGTCTGGGAGACATTCTGAAAGGCTGTGTGTCAATTCGTAGTTAGTAACGGAGGAGCCACACGGAGCCCCAGGAAATCCCCAGATTAGCTTGGACCCTCTGGGTACTAGGGAGCTGTAGGCAAATGGATACGAGTGCCCCATGTGCCAACCTTTCCCCCTCCTACCCAAGAAAGACCCAGCCCAGGGCAGCTCAGGATAAACAGATGGGCAGGCTCAAGGGTGAGGACAGATTGGTATTGAGCCAAGAGGGAATCAGTGCCCTGCTACCAGGCTATTAGCCATCCTCTGCCCCCAAGCAGGAGGGAATCCTGCATCTCAGAAAGAGCTGGGGAGTGGATCAGCAGCACCAGGGGAAGCCTGGGGTTTATTATTGCTTTTGGTGGGGGTGGGAATGGGGGTGGCTCAGGCTCAAACAGAAGGACTGCTACCACCCTCTTTATGCTTGCTAACAGTGGAAACAGGCACAGCTGTGTGGGTGAGCACAGGAAGGACAAGCTATGGTTCCCCAGGGCACTGCAGCTCTGAAGACCCTTCCTCATGGCAAACAAAGGGAGGGAATTGAGTAGAAGCCCTGTTAGATAAAGTAGACACTATACATAGGTGTGTCTATATGCATGTGTTTGGGGGGGGGTGTGTGTGTGCCTCTGTGTGTGTGTGTGTGTGTGTGTCCCTACGTACACTCATGTGAACAGAAGCAAAAGCTGGTGTGTCTCTTTGGGTGTGACTGGGTGTATGCCTTAGGTTGTGGTGCGTTTGAAAGGGGAAGGCTAACATGGATTCAGACACAGAGCTAAGGAAGGGTTTAGCCACCTGAGAGCAGAAATGCTAACTGTGTTAAATAAATACTCTGAGGCATCAACAGGAAAGCCTGGGAGAGAGAAAAGCACAGATAGCCACATATGGCACAGATGCCTGAGAGGGATGAGGGCTTAATATGGACTTGTTAATACAAGAAAAAAGTGAGGACAAAAACGGGGCCTCTTGTGTGTATTTTGTATATGCTTGGGAATGCATATTGATGTGTTAGGTGTGTTTGTGTATACATATATTTAGGTCAGTTCTTACAAGTCAGACCTGTGTGATTACCTGTTACCATGTGTTTCTTATGTGCACATGCATGTTTCTGGGGTGTGTACATTTATATGCATGTATGAACACTGGTTACATGTGTCTTCACATGGTTACATACTGACTACAAAGGACCCCTTGGCATCTTCCAAAGAAAAATCTCAGCACATACAGCATCTCCCTAGGCACTAAGATCTACCACAACATGGCGGTACACCAGGGTCTGCCCCTTGAAACTGGGTGCCAACAGCAGCTGGGCATCACCAGCTGGCATGTAGCAGAAGGCCCGAGGGGCCTGTACTGCTAGCTCCTGGAAACGCACAAACTTTTGCCGACCGTCATCCCACTGATAGATCTGGGTGAAGGAGAAGTCACTGCCTAGGGCCAGGTAACGCCGTTCACCCACAAGGAAAGGCTGCAGTGCCAGGGAGCCTCGAGACGGCAGTGCTTGTACCTCAGAGAATCGGGTGCCTTCCCAGCGTAGGATCTTAGAGTCACCAATATACCGACTGAGGCAGAGATAGCTATCTCGGCCAGCACGGAAATGTTTGACCGCTTGGGCATCAGGTACCTGGGACACCTCACCTTGCGCCACAAACTGCTTCTGGGCTCTACTCCACTGGTAGATGACGGGAGCCTGGGAGCTGCTGGAAACAATTAACCGAGGCTTGCCCTCGCCATCCACAAACTCAAGGTCGGTGTCACGGTGCCAGGCGTGCAGGGCTTGGTGGGAATAAAAGCCATTCTGGTGCCATCGGTAGAGGCTGGTGGCTCCTGCCTTTGAGCTGTCGGCTATGGCAAAGAACCAGTCACCTTCAATGCGGAAGGCCTCTAGGTCATTGGGCTTCCGAACTCGCTCGGGGTCAATATCCTGAAGCTTGTTGAAACGAGTGGTGTTGGGATCCCAATGGTAAATATAGGATCCACCAAAGAGCTGGGCTGCCACCATGTACAACTGGCCATCTACCACCAGTGGCTTGCAGTGCACAGCTGAAGGAGCTGTTCAAGGGAAGAAAAAGCAAGGCAGCACTATGGAGGCCATCCCTCTCTCCTTGCCTCTCCATCCCAGCTGCTTTCTTGTAAATAGGGCTTCTGCCCCTCCTCCCCAGCTATCCCAGCCCACAATCATTTCTCTTCCTTCCCTAAACTCCTAAAGCAGTTACTGCCCTGACCATCATTATTTTCTCATTGATTCATGGATGTTGATCTTCTCTCCCCAGACTGAAAACTGAAAAAAGACAGTCTCTGGATGCCCTGAAATGCTTATCATTGGGCAGGGCATGGAGTAAGCACTCCATAAATGTTGGTTGATTGGTAGATATTTAGGAGGAAGTTAACTGGTCTGGGGAGGAAAGAAGACTCACCCCAAAAAAACAAGACCCTTGGTGTGAATGCCGTACACACTGGGAGACAAAGCAACTATGATTCATTGCATGTCTAGGAATAGCCCTGTTAGAATGTAAACTCCTAGAGGGCAGGAATTACCTTTTTGTACTTGTTATTGTCCAGCACTTTGGACAATGCCTGGTACATGTTAAGCGCTTAACCAAGGTTTCGTCTTTCATTTTTTTCACATACAAATAGGTCTATGTGTGGACATATCTTTAAAAACACACACACACGGCCAAGAATTGGAAATTGAGGGGATGCCCATCAATTGGGGAATAGTTGAACAAGTTATGGTATATGAATGTAATGGGATACTATTGTGCTATAAGAAATGATGAGCAGGTGGACTTCAGAAAAACCTGGAAAGACTTGTATGAACTGATGCTGAGTGAAGTGAGCAGAACCAGGAGAACATTGTGCACAGTAACAGCCACACTGTGCAATGACTGACTTTGATAGACTTAGCTCTTCTCAGCAACACAAGGATTTAAGACAACTCCAAAAGATTCACAATGGAAAATGCTATCCACATCCAGAGAAAGAACTTTGGATTCTGAATGCAGATGGAAGCATGCTATTTGCTCTCTTTTTTGTTGTTGTTTTGTTTTGTTTCTTCTTTCTCATGGTTCCTCCCATTGGTCCTAATTCTTCTTTACAACATGACTAATGTGAAAATATGTTTAATATGAATGTATATGTAGAGCCTATATCAGATTGCACACTGTTTTGGGGAGGGGGGAGGGGAGAGAGAGGGAGAAAATTTAAAACTAAAAAGCTTATGGAAGTGAATGTTGAAAACAAAAAAATTAATAAATAAGTTAATTAATTTAAAAAACACATACACATGCAGGTATGAACTTATATGATTATGCAAAGATAAACCTTATGCACACGAGACAAAATCTGTCTCCATCCTAGCTGTCCTTTTGCCAAGGATAGGATCTATCACCCCCTTAACAGACCCTGTCCCTGCTCCACTGGCCCTTCTTCCTCAGCACAAAGAAAACTCACGGTGTTTGTCTGGAGGCCTGCCATTTGTTGCCTAAACATCAATTCTGCCCACAGCCTGAAGCCCTCCTCACTGAACCTCAGGCCTGTCCCATGGAGAGTCAAGCACAGAGGGCCACAATGCTGATTAGCATGCTGCTAGGAGGCTGGAGGGAGGCTGGCTGCCTCCATACCTGGAATTCGGTCAAAGTCTCGAAGCTGCCGCTCCACGTAATCCCACTTCAGGATGTTACAGGCACTGGCACTGGGCTGGGCCAGGGCTAAGTAGAGATCGCTGGCATAAAGAAAGGGTTCAGCAGACACTGCGGGGAAGGGCAGAGTCTGGTACAGCACAAAATCTGCGAGGAGGAGAAGCAGAGCACTGCAGAGGAGATGTGGGGTAAAGCTGAGAGAAGAGCCCATTGGCCCAGGGACAGAGCAGGTTGAGATGGAAGGGGAGGGATGGACTAGGACGGGTTAATGAGAGGAGGAGCAGAGTGGGATCAGTCAGGGTAAGAGGAAGGGTAGAATAGGGTAAAGCAGGATAAGAGGGAAGGGGGAAGATACACGGAGGAGAGGAGTATCTGGTGGTGACCCAAATGTGGGGGGCTTTATGGTGTTGATAGAGTAGTGCCCAATGGATGCCCTGGGAAGTCGCCCATACATAAGGTAGCAGGAAAGGGGCTGTGGTAATCCATAGGCTGTCTCCTACCAGTTGTGATACAGTCGAACTCTCTGAGTGGGAGGTCCTGCACCTTGTGCTCCTGGAATCTGGGAGGGCTCGAGCAGTAAATGGGAGCCACAGTAGTATTGGTGTTCGCCAGCCACTCCACCAACCACTTCACTTTGCAGTCACAGTTCAGTGAGTTGCCCCGAAGGTCTCTGGACAACAGGAGTGAGGAATTTTGGAGGGGAAGAACGACATTCAGGAGCCTGGCTCAAATCTAGACTTCCTCCTAAATTATAGTTTGTGGACCACTCCTGCTAAGCAAAGGTTCCTCCTAATTCCCCTACCTTTATTTTGTTCCTAGCATCCAATGTCAAAAAACAAAACAAAACAAAGCAAAAAAACCCTCCCTCCTCAATTTCATGGATTATTTTCTTGGGTAAGTAATCATGAATGTGGCTGAGCTTTTAATAGGGTTCATTTGGGATTTTCTTAATGGAGACTCGAATCACGAATGAAAGAGCTATAGAGCTATGACAGATATTGGGACAGTCCAGCACAGAAGTCCCCCAGCCTAGGGGCTGCCTTGGGCTGTTTTGTCAGGCCCAGGGTTTATTCAGAGGAATATAGAGTAGAAGGAACAGGTCTTTGTGAAGAGAAACAAAGACTAAAATAACAATAGTACAAATAGACAAGCAGATAAACTTAAAATGTGTCATTTGAGCCCACGGATGCCCGTTCAACTTCCCCATTTTAAAGATGAGGAAACTGATATATGGTACAGTGAAAAGGGTACAGCTTCTGGGTTCAAATTCCATTTCTGGTACTAACTACTTGTATGACCTTTCAAAAGTCACTGAACCTTACCTGTGCCTCTGTTTCACCATCTGTAAAAGGAAGAGGTTGGACTATGTCCCCTGAGGTCCCTTCTAGCTTTAGGCCTATGATCCCATGAAATTTAGAGAGCTGAAGGAATTAATTCAAGTTCATAAAAGGAATCCTATGTAACTGGCATTTTCAGAGTGCTTTACACTGAGCTGGTGGCAGGCTCGGGGCTGGAGTCCAAACCTCTCAATCTAGCCGCCTTCTGCCTACATCACATGCCATCATTGCCTTCCTCTTGTCCACAGAAGAGCCACAGGGAAGATGTATCTGTTTCTTGATGACTCAGTGTTGTTTTACAAACAGCAGGTGTACCACGCACTGGGCTGTTATGCAATGCCGTCCTCAGGGCTACCGAGGCACAAAAGCCCCGATGACAATAGCTGACATTTTGGGTTTGCCAAGTGCTTTACATATGTTATATTATTCTTGCCCTAACACAATCCAGTGAGGTGGGAGCAACAGGCATTTATCAACATTTTATACATGAGGAAGCTAAGGCTCAGAAAGATTAGATTTGCTCAAGTTCTCACAAGCCAAGAACTATCAGAGGCAAGATCCAGACCTATGTCCTCCTGACCCTTTCATGATAGCCTACTGCAGGGATGGGGAACCTGCAGCCTCGAAGCCATAAGTGCCTCTGTGGGCCCCAAACTTGGATTCAGTCAAAGGGCCACACTTGAGGACCTAGGTTCCCCACCCCTGGCCTACTGTCTTCTGTCTGATCCTCCCCAAGATATTCAATCACCCATCTCCTTGCTTTTGCACTAGCCATCCCCTGTGCCTGAGATGCACTCGCTTCTGACCTGTGCCTTGGAGAATCCTTCTCTTCCTTTAATAGGCAGCTCAGGCACCAATTTCTACATGGTATCTTTCCTAAGTGAGTTCCTGCTCTCCCTCCAAAATTCCCTTGTATTTTGATACTCTGTATACATTTGTGTTAATTAGCTATATATACCTTCTGTATATATCTTTATATGGACTCATCTCCCTTGTTAGAATCGGGGAGCAAGCTTCCTCTGAGAAGGGGTTGTTTCATTCTTTGTACTTAGATCTCAGCACAGTGCCTGGCATATAGTAGGTGCTTGTAGTTGTTCAGTCCTGTCTGACTCTTTTTGACTCCTTTGGGGTTTTCTCGGCAAAGATATTGGATCACTGGATACAAAAATCACTGAATGGGTGTTGCCTCAGTCAAACCTGGGAAAGACCTTAGCTTAAAAAGGCCTAGGTCTCCCACTGCATCCAGGGCCATCTCCAGTCATCCTGATCTGTATCTCACCACTGGACCCAGATGGCTCCAGAGGACAGAGTGAGGCTGGTGACTTTGCACAGTCCTCCCTCACTTAAATCTAATTCATTTACAAGTCATGGCGTCACCTCCCTGATGTCATGGTCCTCTTTAAGAACAAAGAACAAACAACAACTGGAGTGATTTGCCATTTCCTTCTCCAACTTGTTTTACAGATGAGGAAACAGAGGCAAACAAAGTTAAGTGACTTGCCCAGAGTCACACAGCTAGTAAGTGTCTGAGGCTGGATTTGAACTCAGGTCTTCCTGACTCCAGGCCCAGAGTTCTATCCACTGCACCATCTAGCTTAATAAATGTTTATTCCCTTCCCTTTTCTTGCCCCCACAGTAGGAAATGAAGATTATTCACACACATTCTTCCCCCGTCATACATTTTAGACAAACCCATTAATGACTTGGGGAATTCTTCAAGAACTTTATGAGCCACTATTTCAAATTCTCCTCTTCTAATTCTGTCCCCCAGAAGCCAGCACCCACACTTGTCTATTTCTTTAGGTTTTATTATTCCCCCCCCAACACTTCCCTTAAAGCAGTTCTTAACCTTTTTTGTGCCATAGAACTCTTTGGAGTCTGGTGAAGCTTGTTGACTCTTCTCTGAAAATGTTTGTAAATGTATACAATAAAATATATAGGATTATAAAGGAAACTAATTATGTTAAACTAGTTACCTATATATGTATGTGTGTATGTATATAGATGTTATTTATGTAGATGTTTTTATTTACCTATGCATGTATCTGCACATATACATATATTTATGTGTATGTATACATAGATAATACATACATATCACATATGTATATAGTATATAGACATGCCTATATGAATGTACCTGTATATATACATCTCTCTCTCTCTCTCTCTCTCTCTCTCTCTGTCTCATTCACAGACCTCAAGTTAAGAATCTCTTCCCAAAAGGGAATCTCTCCTCCCAGCCAAAAGATCCAAGGCAGGATCATAAAAAGAAATGGGAAAAGGGTCTTACAAGTCACTCAAGATGTCCAAGGGTCGGAAGACATCTCTAGGCAATGTCTGAAGATTATTATTGGCCAATGAGCTGCAAGGGAAAAAAAAAAAAAACCTGAGTCACAGTCAAAGTTATGAGAAAGTCCCTGAGCTATTGGGATCATTTGGTCAAACTCAACCATTCCACCTTTTTCTAGCTCCAGAGAGGGACCTGTTTGTAGGGACCCCCAAGCAGTGGTGAGCCTCTGTGCACAGACTTGTGGGGGGTTATACTTACAGGTGTGTCAAAGACTTGAGTCCCCGGAAGGTGAACCTAGACAGCGCCCAGATGTCATTGTTCTCAATGAAGCTACAGAAAATAAGAGCTTGGCTCAGCCTGGTGTACTGAATTCAATTCCATCCCTGCTTCTAGCCCATGATTTTAACCCTAGTCAAACTGCAATCCAGAGTCTCCAAAAAAGGCTACCAGTGAGAGTGCATGGGACCCTCTGACCCAGGGAAGCTTTAAAAAAGGAGCAATGTTTTAAGGCAGTTCTTCTCAAGACTTTTTTTTTCCTTACAGCACAGGAAGAATCAAGGCACAATGTATATTTTAAGCTGGTAACAAAGAACATTTCCTTGGCAGTCAGTGCTTCAGACCCATGAAGCAGGCTTCCTCTACCTCTCTTTACCCTCCCTTCACCTCCCCAGGGTTCTCAGCAAGGGAGGCAATCCCTCACCTCTCTTCCCCTTCCACTGAGTGGCTATTGTGACCTAGCAAAGAGCAGGCAGCTAAATTCAGTTGGGGATGGGGGTGGGGATGAGGGCTATGGATTTTAAAGCACACCTAATGGGAAATCTTGAGGTGATACCCCATTTAGGAAACACTGGTTTCACCGTAGTCATATGCACATGATAGTGAAATGGATGAAATGATCTCTTGAGGTTTTTTCCAGACCTGGGTTTCATTGACTTTCACCCTCTGACCTTCCATTCCCAACCTTTCCCATCCAACTTCCACTCAACCCCACCCAGATCCCAGTTTCCTCCTCCTCCTTCTTTTTGTTCCACCCTTTCTCCCATCTTCTCCCGTCTTCTCCCACGCACAGGTACTGCAGGCGGGATAGTCCCATGAAGGCATTGTCTCCGATCAGAGTGAACTTGTTGGAATTGAGTAACCTAGAAAAGGAGGCAACGGAGAAATCAGGATTCCCGGGGGTGTGCCTATTACCCTATTGCCCCACCCCAAGTACTCTGCCCCTCCTCTAAGGTCCTTCCCTTCCACCACTATTCCCCATTCCACTCAGAGTACCAGTGCAGAGCCCCAGTGGATTTGTTAATAGGTGGCCTGCAGGCCCCTGGATATTAAGAATGGTAAAGTACAATAGAGACAAAATGTACAGCCCCAATTGGTGCTTACATTTTCTCCTCCCTCCCACCACCCAAGGGTAAAAATAATGGAGAGAGGGTTGAACTTTCTCCTGTCAAAGATGAATGTCTCTGGGTCCTGGGCTTCCCCTACTTTCCTTTCCCCAGTAACTTTCCTTTTCTCTTCCCATCTGCTACAAGCTAGCACACAACTGAACAATGCTTTGGTATGAGGGGACCATAAAGCACCTTCTCCTGATACTCAGTTAACTTTGCAAAGGTTCTTTAGAACTAAAGTGGGGGTTCTTATCCTTTTCTGTGTCATGGACCCCTTTTCAGGATTTTTTAAATAATTGAAGAGAATACTAAATTGAAGCCAGAGGTTAGTGAAAATAAAGATGTAATTATTTTTTCCCCAACCAAGTCTACAGACCCCCTGAAATCTATCCCTGGACCCCTGGGGACGGGGGTCTGTGGTTTTTCAATCGTGTCTGACTCTATGTGACCCCATTGACATTGTTTATGGGATTTTCTTGGTAAAGATATTTGAATGGTTTGCCATTTCCTTTTTCAGTGTGTCCTATTTTACAGATGAGGAACTGAGACAAATAGGAGCTAAGTGACTTGTTCAAGGTCACACGACGAGTAAGCGTGAACTCAGATCATCCTAACTCCAGGCCTGTCGCTCTAGCTACTACTCTACCTAGCTGCTCAGGTAAATAACTGCTGAACTAAATAAGTCCCTTCTAAGTTCTCTTTCTTGAGATAAAAAAAAAGTATTCTCCCCCAATCCCTCCCACCCCACTTTGGATAAAAGTCATTCCTCTAGCCAATATGTATGGTTTGTTTTATTTTCTCCCTTTTCCCTTCTAAGCTGTCACTTCTTGCTTCTGAAGCAGCTAGGTAGTGCTTGGACTGGATCAGGAAGACGGAATTCAAATCCGTGCTCAGATACTTACTAACTGTATGACCTTGATCAAGTCACTTAACTACTGTTTACTTAAGTTTCTTCAATTGTAAATAGGGTAACAATAGTAACTACTTTCCAAGGTTGTTGTACGGATCAAATGAGATAATATTTGTAAAGTTCCTGATCTAGTATAAGCCCTTAACAAATGCTTATTTCCTTCCTTTTGTTCATCTGAATTGAATACCTGTCTCTCCTGTGGGAAATGAGAGTTATTCACACACACATTTCCCCCCACCATGCACTTTGGACAAACCCACTGATGACTTGAGCAACCCTTTGGAAACGTTGAGCCTCTCTAGGGTCTGTGACCTTTTCTTTTTCTTTTTTTTTAATATATCTTGATAATTATACTTCAATATAATTGTTTCACTTTGTAATCCTATATATTTTATTTTGTGCATTTAACTGCACAGTTCTGAAATAGGATCCATCAGCTTCAAAAGATCGCTAAAGGGGTCCACAGTATAAAAAAAGGTTAAGAACTCCTGCTCTGGGTCCTGACCCCCAGGACCGTCAAATTCCACCCCACTCCATCTTTCCTCCATTCTCCAGACTCAGGCCAAATTGTTGCCTTTATTGGAGGCTGTGTCCTTGTCTGGGTCTTCAGTCCACTCCGCTATTGGCTTCTAGTTTAAAATGCTATTCTCACAGTCACTCTCCTAACCCCCCCCCCCAAAGAACCTGGGTTCTGACCCTAGAGATCCCCTCTCTGTCTAGCTCTCCATCTCAGTTCCTGCTTCCTCCTTGTGTTTTTGTGACAGCACCCACCAGAGAACCAAAACTACAGCCTCTCCTCGAAATCCCCCGAATCCCCTAAGGTTTCCTGAGCATAGATAGGACTGATCCGTACAGGAATTGAAGGAGTGGCAAATGAGAGAAAGCTCCATCGTGGATCTCCGAGAAGGCTGCATTCACCAATGTCCTGTGGGGAGACAGTTGGGTCAGGGAGAGAGTGTGAAGCAGGAATTATACTTCAGGGGTGAAGAGAAGATTTAGCTCAGTCCTTTACTCCAATGATCAGTTTCACTGCTTTCCTCAGCCAAACCCTCCTTTTTTCCCTGACACCATTTTGGGTCAATCTATGCCCCTCCCCACTGATTTCACTGTATTCATTCACACCTCCCAAAATTATCCTTTTCTCCCAGACCTCAAACCTTATCTTCTCTTTCTTGACAACTACACCCTCTCCTAGGGCCACTTAGATGCAATCCCTCACCCCCACTCCCTTGTTGACATTCCTTGGAAAGCTCTTCAGCCCCTCCCTGTAGACTCACCTATGCTCCCCTCCCCCCATCCTTTCTTACGTGTTCAGCCTCTTCTCCCGGCCTCCATAAATCCTGAGCTCTTCTTACCACCCACACCCATCAGGAAGAAGCTGTTGCATCATCATGAACAAACATTTTCAAGTCTACTATGTACAGGGTCCCACAAGTTCTGTGCTAAGCCCCAGAGATACCAATAATAATAGCTGACATTTATATATATTAAGGGGCAGAGGTGGTGCAGTGGATAGATTGATGGATCTGCAGCCAAAAAAACCTGAGCTCAAGTGTGACCTCAGACACTTTGTCGTTCTTATCTAGTCGAGTCCTATTCTTCATGACCCCATTTAGGGTTTTCTTGGCAAAGACACTCTGGAATGGTTTGCATTTCCTTCTCCATCTGTAAAATGAATTACAGATGAGGAAACTGAGGCAAACAGTTACATGTCCTACCTAGGGCTACAACAGCTAGTATTTGAGGCCAGATTTGAACAAGGAAGGGGAGTTTTCTTGATTCTTGAGTAGTTCTGAACTGTAGTAACTGAACAACTAGGCCCAGAACCTCTATCTACTGTGCCATGTAGTTGCGCCTAAACGCTTACTAGCTATATGACCCTGGACAAGTCATTTAACCTCGGTCTGCCTCAGTTTCCTCCACTATAAAATGAGGCTAATAATAGCACTTATCTCTTAAGGTTGTGAAATGTTTGTGAAGTGCTTTGCAAAGCTTTAAAGTGATATATAAATTCTAGTTATTATTATTATCATACCACTTTAAGGTTGAAAAAACACTATTATATGATCTCATTTAATCCTCACAACAGGTTATTACTGTCCTTATTTTACAGATGAAGAGACCAAGGCAATTGGAGAAACTGTTGTCTGAGGCTCAGATGTGTTTTCTGTTCTCAAGGGGCGGATACTCTAGACATCCTAGTAGCCAAAGGGTTAATGGTGGCCAGGATTCCAGCTGTGTTGCTGGAAGTTCAGATGATAGATGGAGAATGACTGGTACGTCAGGTTGCATTGACCAGCATCAATGTCAAGGAATAGAGCAGGGCAAAATGTGGCTGCAATTTCCCTCCCTAGATGCATGCCTGTGGGGTTGATCCCAGGGGTAGGCATGCAGGATGGACATACACACACACACACACACACACACACACATATATATATATACACATATATACACCAAAGGAATACACATGCTTGTGCGGATGTGTACTCCTGACTCAGAGGGCCTTGCACATTTGCTCATGTTTGGTGACAATATACATATTGGATACATACTCTTGTTTGTTTTTTTCCCCCAGTCATGCTTGCTGGTCCCCTTACATTCATTCACCCAACTTTCAGCAAGCACTGGAAGGCACTGTGCTGCATCCTGGAGATATAAAGATTTTTCAAATGTCACAGCCCCTACCCTCTGAGAGCTGCCTCCTTCATATCTACCTCCTGTTTCTGAGGCATGGGGATGACAAGGCATCACGCTTATCCCCCTCTGATGCCAGGTACCTCCTTGGGAAACTGCTGATCCCCTCCCCCCCAGCCTCACCTATGCCCCCCCCTTCATCCCACACCTTTTGCCTGCCCCCAGAAATATGCACTTCCTAGAACCCCAAGCCTGCGCCTGTTGTTCCCCCATTATCTCTGGTCTTTCCCTCCATTCCCCTCCCCCGTGACTGGAGCACTCACAGGGAGATGACTTCAGTGGGAAGGTTCTTGGGCACAGCCTTGGAGTCAACGCAGAAGGCAGTGTCCCGGGTACAGGAACAGCTGGGTGGGCACGGGGGAGTCTTGGGGGGCCTCTTGGCATCCCCCAGTAAGACTAGGCAGAAGCCCAGTAAGGACAGCCCCAGAAGCCGATGCCCAGATCCCTGCGGCAATGCCCACAGTCCCAACATGGCTGCAGCTAGAGATTGCCCCCTCTCACCCTTCGCTCCTCACCCACGGGCAATGCTACCCCAGAGGCTCCAAAGGCCCCCAAAGGATGCCAGCATCCCAGGCTGGCACCTCCCCCTGCAGCTCGGATCCCTGCCCGGTGGCCGCAGCTGAGAACTCCCAAGCAGCTGGATCCTCCTTCTCTCTCCCTCCCTCAGCCCCCGGCAGCCCAGCAGCCGCTGCAGCTCCTCCTCCCCTCCCCCCTTTCCCCCTTCCCCTCCCCCTCCCCCTGCCCCAAGCTGCGCTCTCCAGATTTCCAGCCTCTCCCTTCTGACAGCGGCTCTGTGCTGCCACGCTGCAGTCCTCTTTCCCCTAGCCAGGGAGAAACAAGCGCGGAGTGCGCTGCACTCGGGGACCAGCGGGGCCAGGGGTGGGGTTCGAAGGGACTGCGGCGGGGACAGCGCATGGAGGGAGGGCTCTCAGAGTTAAAAAAAGACAGGGAGGGGGAAGAGGAGGGGGTTGGGAAGGGATCTTGCTGCAGTATGTGGGAAAGCAGGTGTCTCAGGACGGCGTGTGTATGTGTGTGTGTGTGGGTGTGGGTGTAGGTGTGTGCGCGCGCGCGCCTTTGTCCCTCGGTACATACATCTGGGTCTTGCATCTTCTCAAGAGTTTATGCCTGTGCCTACATGTGTACATGCTTGTCTTCCCTCTGTGCATACATGTGTACACACATGTACTTTCATCTGTGCATGTGGGCTTTGTGCATGCATGTGCGTGTGCATCTGTGCATATGTTTGAACATGTCTCTGTGTGTACATACATACACAAGCGGCTGTGTTTCTGTACATATGCTTACCTGGCCTCCAAATGGGTCATAAGAATGACTAACATTTCTATAGCCCCTTTGGTTTACAAATACTTTTCTTTGCAAACACAATTCAATGAGGTAGGCTGAGGTAGGCAGTACAAATATTCATAGCCCCACTTTATAAAAGAGGTAATGAGACTCAGAGAAATTAGGTGACTTGCCCAGGTTCATACAACTAGTAAGTGTGGGAATCAATCAATCAACAAGTATTTGTTATTGTTATTCAGTTTCATCCAACTCTTTGGTGACCTTATGGAGCATAGCATCCCACTATTGTCAATGAGGTTTTTCTTGGCAAAGATACCGGATCGGTTTGTCATTTCCTTCTCCTGTGGAGTAAGGTAAACAGAGGTTAAGTGACTTGCCCAGGGTTGCAAAGCTAGTAAATGTCTGAGGCCAGATCTGAACTCCAGTCTTCCTGATTTCAGGCCCCCCCCACTCTATCCACTGAGCCACCTAGCTGCCTCCAACTATGTTCCCCTATACCTCCACAGTTTCTAAACTCAACAGAGTGCCCATGATGGCTTGTGTGCATGGTTGCTTTGCCTTGTGCTTAGTTTGCCTTAAAAATATATGTAACAGAGGCTGAGATAACTGGGGTGGGGTGCACATGTATGTTCATGGGTGTGCTGCTGAATAAAATACGTCTTTGTTCAGTGGGCGTGATGAGGGGGTGAGAGGACAGAGTCCTTGCTGTTCAGCACATGTGGAATCTGGAATATTTCTGACCCCCCCCTCCCCCCAAAGAGCCAGCTAGTGGTTTTACTAAAGTCAAGGGTTCTCATAGCTAGGGACTAGTTTGCTTGAGTAAACAATTATTTCCTCCCTCTTCTGGAACCCTCCAGGATGAGAATACTCTGACCTAAGCAAAGACTCTTTACTCAGCAACAGGTGGCTTCCCTTCTTCTTAAGTCTTCCCTAGTCCAGATTCTCCATGCCACCCCTGTTCCCAATCAGTGTTGTACTTCTCCATACAGCTCCTCTCTGCTTCTCCCTCACAGACACACAGGCTAAGCTTTCGCCTTTAACAAGATGGGGTTGCCCCATGTCATCACTGCCAACCCATCTACTTCTGCCCTTCTCGCTTTGCTCTTACCCACTTGTGTGACAGGGAGTAGTGGGAGGGAGGCTGGGAGTTGGGGCAGCTGGGCTTCCCACCCGTCCCTGGCACAGCCCTGCCCGGCATACAAAGGGCAGAGTGAGAGCTGCCCCGCCCCCTGGTGATGAGAGAATGAGGGAGGGGGTAAAAGGGGTAGGCTCCCTGGTGTCATCCATCCTAGAGAGGACATAATGGGGGTCATCTTAGAAGCAGGCGAGAGATTCTTAAAGCTCAGGGAAACAAGACTCCTGGGTTCTTTTCTCAACTAGTGGAGAAGGGCAATGATGGACCAGAGCAGAGCCCAGTCTAAGACTTCAGTGGAAGAAAATGCAAAGGAAGTTATCCCTCTTTCTTCTGGGGTCATAATCCTTTATGTTAGTATTGAACTAAAAATTTTTTTATAAGCACCTATTATCTCTGTCCCTCCCACTGCTCCCTTTATTGCATATTTTTTAAACTAAAAATATAATCCTCATTACAATATATATAATCATCCAGCAAAACAAATTCCAAATACAACATTGGCCATGCCCCCCAGAAAAGCATTTCTCATTCTCAACCTTGAGTCTATCACTTACCTCTCTGTCAGGAGGTTGGTAACATGCTTCATCATCTTTTCTCTGGAATTGTAATGGGTCTATTCATTGATCAAGGTTCTAAAATCTTTCAAAATTGTTTTTCTCTGTAATATTGTCATTGCATAAATTTTTCTCCTAGTTCCTGCTCACTTCACTCTGCATCAGTTCATAAAGATCTTCTCAATTTCCTCTGCAACAGTTCTTTTAGTCACTTCTTATGGTACAGTAATATTCCATTGCAGTTATATACCTCAGTTTGTTTAGCCATTCCCAGTAGGAGGGCACCCCACTAGTTTCTAGCTTAGGGCTATTATTTTTTAACATATAGGTTATTTTCCTTATTCTTCAATCTCTTTGGGATATGAGTCCAATATGGTAGATAAGGATCAAAGAGCATGCAAAGTTTGGTAACTTTGGAGGCATAGTTCCAAACTGCTTTCCAAAATTCACAGTCTCATAGCTCCACTAACAGTGAACTAGTGTGCCTATTTTCCTGAAGCACCCTCCCCCAACATTTGTATTGAATTTACAATCTTCAAAACATTTTCTTCACTTACATTTGATCTTCACACCCACTCTCCAAGGTAGAGAAGGCAGATATTATTATTCACAGTGTAGAGAGGTAGGAAACTGGCTCAGAGATGTGATATAACTTGTCCAGGTTTATACAGCTAGTATAGCTGTATATATACATAGTATATATAGTATATTATATACATGTGTATATATGTATATATGTAGCCAAAACTAGAACCCAAGTATCTTGATTCTTCAGCATTCTTCCCACTATGTTATCTGTATGCTGGCTCTGATTCCCTCCACCCAAACGAAGATGGGTGCCTTGGTTCTTTCCATCCCAGAGAGAACATAGAGGGTAAAGATAGGCAAAAGATTCAAATCTAGAGAAAGAGCTGAACCATTTTGTGTCATGGTTCCCTATGGAAATCTGGTGAAGCCTGTGAGCCCTTTCTCAGAATGTCCTTAAATGTATAAAATAAAAATGTAGGATTACAAAAGAAACCAAAAGTTAGCAAAAATAAAGATGTAATCTTTCCATCTAAATTCACAGACCCCCTAAATTCTATCCAAGCATTCTTTGGGGATCTGTGGACACCAGGTTAAGAATCCTTTGTGTAGAAGAATGGTACTCTTTGGGAACCTAGATCTGAAATAATAGACTATTAACACAATTACAGAAATAACACCTGAGATTCAGTTGTCCCCTTTCATCACCATGTCAATCTATCAAACATTCATCTATTGAGGGAGTATTTGTGAGCACCCATCATATACAAGGGAATATGCTATAGCTTGATGAACAATTCAAAGATTGTCCTACCCTCTAGAAGGTCACGGTCTAACTGGAGAGCCAAGATTAACACACATGAAAAGATAACTGAAAATACAAAGCACTGCACAGTGCCGACGTCAATGGTACATGAGTGCTAGGAGTTCATTCCTGTGGTTTGGAATTGGCTGGAAAGGCTTTTCTGGGAAGGGAAGTTTTTACTCAGGTCTTAAAGGATGGGTCAGATTCAAGACATGATGAAGAGAATAAAGATGGCTAAAGAATACAGTTCATAGTGGGAGGCTCATGGGGGACAAAGTTGGAAAGGTAGGTTGGGGAAAGATTATCTAGAACCATAAATGTTAGCAGGAAATTCTTTTCATCAGTCCTCCAGAAATCTCCAAACCCATTAATATGTTGGTGGCTGTTCTCAGTTCTCAGAGAAAGAGGAAAATAGTCTTTACATCTGTTTTCTACAATAGCCAAACGAAAATTTTCCATCACCCTCTCCCCATAACTACTCCCAAAAGGTAGTGGATTTGAGGGTTTGTGATACACCCTGTTCATCTGAAGCCTTGATAGGAAGGAGGCAGGATCATGAATTTAGAGGAGGAAGTCATCTTATAGTTCATTTAGTATAAAAGTTTGCATTTTATAGATGAAGAAACAAAGGCCGAGAAAGTTTGAGTGAATCACTTGCCCAAGGTCCTACAGATAGTAAATGCAGAGCCAGCATTCCATACTGAGGAGAATAATGGCCCGGATGGGGCAGTAATGTGAAGGATTCAGGCCAATAAATTCACAGTCTAATAATTTATGCTACAAACTCCCTCCACCCCCATCAGACTAGATCTCCTGAGAGCATGCTTCTATACAATTGCAAAGCTCAGGACACTCCCTGGGTCAAGGCCCTCCGGCCCCTAGAGATGCCCACAGGGTCCCCGAGATGCCTTTGGTTCTCCTTGGCTTTCCAGTTGGCCCAATGCCCCACCTGGCTCCAGCCCAGTGCCCGTGAGTCAGCTGATCAATTCCAATGTTGCCAGGACAACTAGGGGAAGAGGCCCTGGGGAGCTGGCAAGGGTGGGCACTGCAGGCGGGCAGGCTCTCAGCCTCTGGCACCTGGACATGGCTGAAGCAGTATTATTGGGAGGGCAGGGAATATGGGACTAGCATTTCTCTTTTCTTCCTCCATTTTT